GGATGACTTTTAGAGACCAACATACGGTGTAGAAGGGGATTTCCACCGCTCAATTACGAGCATTGAACCCTTAGGGATCGCGGATCCCGACAGACAGTTGAGGCCTAACCGGCGCAAGGTGGCTTAGGATTTAATAGGAACCTAAGTCCAGGGGGAGAGAGGGTCAGAGGCCGAACCCACCGTTGCGACTTTTTATGGGGTAGCGGAGGTCCAATCGATCCTGTTTTAAAGCAGAAGGGAGCCCCTCAACTCGCTTGTGTGGAAGGAAGGAGACAAATTCTCATTCGGGACGAATGAGTCTTAAGGAGGGGGTAATGTTACGATTATTCTTTTCTTTTTCTTTTTCTTTCCTTTTCTTTTCTTTTCTTTTTCTTTAGTCAGCCGGATTACGCGGCGCGATCATCACGGACTGACTGCGCAGTAGTATTTTTAGATTACTCACGTGTATTTAAGCAGAGCCTCAGCTGGCCTAAACCCCAGCTTCGGCTAAGGTTTATTCTACCTAACATCGAACTCTGTTCTTCTGTCTAAGTGTCCCATCGACTTACGTCGCCTTTGACTTGCTAGTGTATCGTCTACCGAAGTGCGAGTAGCGATCCTAGTACGATCTAAGTCGATTTGAGTTAGTGGCTAACAAACGGTAAAGACAATATTTATATGCCACTAGTAAGGCATTGAGTCATTATTATTCTATAATGTTCCACAGTATTCTAGTATCAGCAAGAAGAATAGAGAAAGAAAGAGAAAATAAGAGAAAATACTGGTAGGCCGAGAGTAGGCGTATGTTGACTCATGTACAGACCCAAAAAGTCATGAGATCCATAACAGCCCATTGTTTCTCAGCAGCGAAGATAGTGTGCTGGATAATGACCAAGTCCCCCATAACAGCGCTCTCAAGCTGGGCCAGATGATCCAAGGACTCGACACAGAGGGCATCTACAGATGACCCTTGCTGTGCCGAGCAAAGAGCCTTGCTAAGGGTGTTACTTCCCACTTTGCTGGCAGCTGAAGGACTCGAATCAGAAGAGGAATAAACATTAAGAAGAGGAAGACACAAACCGGTGCTGACCAGACCAAGAATGGAGGCCAACCAACATTTGCTGGACCTCTTAGAAGGGTAGTACTCCCTTGCAGACAGCAATGGGAAGGCGTGCTGAGAACATTTGGACTCACGATCGCTGTCCTTGTAGTACTGCTTGGCCAAAGAAGCCTAGGGAAATTGAAGATTAGTGGGAGAATTAGTGAGCTCACTAAAAATAACAACTCATGGTGCCTGGAGCAGTGCAGTTGAGGAGGGAATGATCGTTTCCACCACAATGGAAGCAGGCAGAAGGTTCCTCCTGGAGTGAAGAGCTTTTAGTGTGGGGGATATCTTGTACATAAGGGAAATTACCCACCTTAGAAGGCTCCTTGCATTTCTTGCCCACAGAAGCTTTGCCAGCTTTTCCCTTGGAGAACTTGGGAAGCTTGGTAGTGGCTGCCTTGGAATTGTCGTCATCGATGACCATTTTGAAAAGGCCATTAGTGAGTGCACTAATAAGGGAACACAAAATCTAGAGAAACCATACTTTAACAGGATCTTCATCAGAATCAGAAGCTTCAGCTACCTTGTCATCACCATCATCATCATTGGAATCGGTGTCAACGATGGCGGCAGACTTTTTAGCTGCATGGGACCTGCCCTTGCTGCAAGGAGTGGAGTTCGACTGAGAAAGAAGCAATTAGGGACAGATAGAAGATGGAAAAATAGAAAGCTCACTTCATGACAAGGACCCATAGGGATAGGAGCAACAGGAGAAGCCTCTACCGACTGATGCTCCAACTGCACCCAACCAGTAATGGTCTTGAGGACCTTGTGGATGGGTTGCTTGGAGGCATTGGTATGAAACTTCTTCTTGATCACACTGTGAGCTTTGAAGATAGTCTCATGAAACTCCTTGTCCTTGATAAGCTCCTCCTTGTGGTGCTCAAGGTGATCCTGGCAAAATCAGGTCAGAAACGCCACAAAGGTTTAGTGAGCTCACTAAAGACTTACGGTATACTCCTGGAGCTGGCCCATCTTCTCAGCAGCAGTAACACTGAGGTTCTGGCAGAGCTGAGTGATGACAGCCTTCACTGCGACAAAGGGCATAGCAGGAGCAGAAGTTGAAGACATGATGAGAGAAGAGAGTGTTTTTGGCTGAAAAATATAGAAAGCACGAGTACTGTCTAAGAAGAATGAATTGTTTGGGATGAAAACCATCAGTGGACTGGCCTCACTTTTATACCAGTACTTGTGGCAGCCACAAATGGAAAGATTAAAAAGTTAATCCCAAACAAGTTGCAACTTAGAGAGAAAACTTCACAACCTAGCAAAGTCTGAGGGAACAATGAAAATCAAAGTACAATGGGCTTTGATAGATTTGAAATTGGGTTGATAGGTGAAGATTAGAGTCAGTCTTGAAGAGATTAGTGACTGAGGACAGTCAATGTCTTTTAGTGTGGGGGATATAGTGGTATACACAGTATACCTTTAATAGTATGTGGAATTAGGACATAAATTTTCGATTCTATGAACACCACTCAAAGAGATATTGACATGCAAAAAAGCAGCCACTTAGGCAAAAATGTCAAACATTTGAAATGAGAATGGAAACAAGTCCACAGAAATGGTGACTGACTGAAAGACCAGTGCCAAAATGGACAGAAATGAAGGAATGAACAAAGAGTTTTGGTATCCAGAAAACAAAACTCTAAATACAAGACAGATGACAGACGCTGAAAAAGACAGAGAAACCACACAAGCCCGAAGAAAGTAGTGAGCTCGCTCGCCAAGATGTGAATGGATATGGCATTAATGCAAATCAGGGACTTAGAGTTCTGATGCAGGGCCACATAGGCGATGACATCACCAAATCACTGCCTGATCGTCTTCCGTGGCAGTGGTGTAAGAGTGTAATTTCTTTACTTCAGGTCTTTTTACTCTACATCGGAAGTCTTGTCTGATTGCTACAGATGAGAATTGAATCTGTTCTAAGTTGAGCCATGTTGCTTTACCAGCAGGATTCCTATGCCTATCCTGCTACTGCTTTCTAAGATCGCACATGAAAATCAGGACAAGGAGCAGCAAGAGATTTTTGATAAAAAGCCTTAAGGGCTGCAAGAAGATAACAAAATGTCATGAACTCACCCTTATTTTTTGTCTTATCTTATCTTATCTTGTCAACTCATCATTCAACTCTCATCATCATTCCTCATACCTGATCTGCACCATTCATGACCTGATTGATCACACGCATGATCCACTGTTCACATGTATGATCCGTTTGATGGCCCATAGATCTGATCACACGACTATAGGCCCAACCCTCCTTCACCCAGTCATGCTTCTTTAGGTTGACTCTGATCACATCCTAGGATGGATAGGGTGCCATGTACACTTCTCAGAAGATAGCACCATATGAATGCTAGTCTTCTTACTCGTGGGAGAGCTTCTCCTATACCAAGCACCATATGATACAGAAGGCAGTGCTGCATTGGGACAGTATACATACCAGTAAATACCATCGTGTATTAAAGACAGCCTCACTGTGGTCTTACGCCCCAGCTTCAGCTAAAGTTATACACTTCTAACTTTTCATGCAGAAACTCCCTGCTTCAAAGACTAAGGACTATTGTCCCTAATGTTGAGATAAGTGGTAATTCTCCAGCCGCTCACCTGGATATAGCAGGGAACCCTCGCAAACAGGCGAGGGTCATCATCGTTTGTCTACCTATTTATCTACATGCCGTGTACACTAATAGAAGCAATATGATGTAATAAGGAAAGCCAAGGAGGAGAACAGATGAACGGTGCTTCCTACTGAAGATCCCGATGTTGACTGCACCATGATGTGCGACACTTGACATTCCAACACCTAACCTAGTGTTTGCAACACCCTCCATCACACTGAATCACTGAACGTGAGTGACAGTTTGGAGGTAAACGTCAAGCAATCCAAGTTAGTGCGTTACACAAAAAGACAAAGGAGCATACTAGAGGAGAGATATGGAAAGGCCCACACACAAAGATACTCTACAAAGGTGCTTAACCCTCAGAGCTGCTGTTACCACTACCACTACTGCTGGAAGAAGAGTCTTCAGGGTTCAGATCCTCCTCAGACTCATCAGCAGGAGTGGAGGACTGAGACTTGGAAGCACCAGACTTAGAGGCTTCCCCAGACTTCGACAGGTTGAGCAGATGACCAAGGGAGCACTGAATGCCATCATCGACGATGAATAGTGTATAGCACAGGTACTGTGGGTTTTTCTGGGTCATGGGTATGGGTATTCACAGGTATGGGTATGGGTCTACATCACCATACCCACTATGAACCCGATGAAACCCGCACAGAATTTACTTCCATGGGTAGTCCCATACTGCTGACTGAGCCACCAGATAGAACTGTACAGTATGATAATTAAACTTTTTAACAGGTGAATAAAGCGCAGAAATTTCCAGCCATTGGTACTTGTGTTATTCTACCATGGCACCTGCTGAAGACCCTCCTGACATGGTATCTGGCAAGCACAAGTGCACTGAGATGGAGTGGAGCAAAGCAGGAAAAGCTCAGTCTACTATGTCAACTAACTCTGCCTCGTCCACCATCTCGAAGGCCAAAAAGAAGATCAAAAATATCACTAAAAAGGTAAAAAAGATCACATCAGGTGTCATCAAAGGCAGAAAGACTGTCGCATCACCTCGTGAGTACCTGTTCATTCCATGTTGAATATCACCTACCAATTTCCTATAGCCCCATCAGTTGCCCCATTGGAAGATCCTCCTCATGCCCAATCACCCTCCATTGCACCACTGCTATCTCGTACCTCAGATGCTGACCTGCCTCCACTTGAGGACCCATCAGACTTGGACTCAGACCATAGTTCCATCCGAGAGGCTCAAGCCATGGATGAGGAGATGGATGAAGCTGAGCTTGGTATGTAATTATTGGCACTAAGTGCTAATACTAATTGCAACATCAGAATGTATGATGAAAAAGTGGTCCGCTTCTGCTTATGCATTTTTCCATCCTATTCCAGCCATTGAGTACCATCATGGGTGCAAGTGTCATGTGTTTTCTTGTGCTGCGAAAGAGTGTGAGCAGGGCATTGCATGCTATCTTGATACTACTGACAAAGAGTCCATGGGAAATATGCGTAAGCATATTCGCTCTTGCTGGGGTACTGATGTTCTGGATATGGCTGATAACATTGAAAATTTGGAGAGTGCTCGCAGACTTGTCAAAGCTCACCAGAATAACAGAACAATTACTTCCATGTTTGAATGCTTGAAGGGTAAAGGTGCTGTAACATATTCCCATCATGCTCACACCAAGACTGAGATGTGGTAAGTGTTTCACAACAATGATATGGTATATTTAGAAGACTCATGTTGTTTCTGTAGCATGGAAATTGTATGATGGGTTTCTGAAAGCCTGCGGCCATTCAACATCGTCAAGGACCATGGTTTTAACTGTCTGATGAAGACCGGCCACCCAGCATATTACCCTCCCCACCCCATGACAATATCTTGTGATGCTAAGACTATTTTTGCAAAAACATGTCAGCAGATTGCAAAGCTACTTCAGGTATTTGAACCTACAATCTAGGAATGAAGCTAACATGTTAACACTGCAGGAGTACGATGGTGAATTAAACTTTGCAACTGATGCCTGGACATCACCAAACCATCAAGTCTTCATCACATTCATGGTTCACTTTATCCATGATGGTCACCCTATATGCATGCTTTTAGACTTCATTGAAGTAGCAAAGGTAATTTGAACATACCTTTTCATATGTTAATCAGAACTAACCCTCATCATCAGTCGCACTCAGGGGATAATCTTGCAGAGGCATTTGAACAGGTATTAAAAGATTTTGGAGTTACTGAAAAGGTAAGCACATCACATTAAGATCAGAAGTCATCGCTGAAGAGAACTTGCAGGTTCTAAGCATTACCTGTGACAACGCTAGCAACAATGATACTATGATCGATGCCCTTGGAGAGTCTGATGACATACCTTCATTTGCTGGCAAAGCCAGCTGCACTTGTTGCTTTGCTCATATTGTGAACCTTGTGGCCAAGAGTTTATTAAAACAGTTTGACCCTCCTGGGCACAGGTCCAATGATAATGGGGCTCCAGATGACAATGCTGAACAAGCCTTGCATGATTTGGTTGGTGGTATTGAGATTGAGGAACTAGAGGCTCGCTTATGGGACATCGAGGTGAATGGTAGTGGGGTTGAAGCTGATGATGTTGAAGGTCTTGTTGATGTGACGACAAGGCTCAGTGATGAGGACCATGAATGATGGCAGCAGGATATAAAACCTGTTCAATTGGTGTTGGCAAAGGCATGATTTATCTCTAGGATTCAAATAGATGCACCATTTCTGATAAATAAAGCCAGCTTCAAAAGCTCCTGTTCAAAATCATTCACTCCAGCATGTTACTTCTTCCTTGTTGGAAGGAGATTCTTGAACAGGATGGTCTCAAGCAAAAAATCCTGCCCTGTGATGTCTCCACACAGTGGAACTTGACGTTTGATATGATCAATACAGTATTGGAATACAAAGAAGCAGTAAAGAAGATGACAGCTGACCAGGATAATGGACTACATGAATTCAAGTTGTCGAGAGCAGAGTGGGTGGTTATCAAGGACTTGCATGATATCTTGCAGGTGTGTGACTGCTGACATAAGCCTAAATTTTCTGACTCAAATGTCCATCCTCTGGCTACCAGGTCCTGAAGGATGTGACACTGTATTTTTCCTGCTTGACACCAAGCCTCACAACAGTTATCCCTGCTATGGATCATATAGACCAAGTTCTCGCCACTGCTGCTCTCGATGACATCAAATTTTCAGCACCTATCTGTGCAGTGCTTACCATTTCGAAGGACACTCTGAATGTATACTACAACAAGACTGACCAGTCGAAGCTTTATCAGATCGCCATGGGTACATGCTTTTGCTTATGAGATTAAGTGCTTTTCTGATATGACTGTAGTCTTGCACTCTTGCCAAAAACTTACCTATTTCCGTGACGCTCAGTGGCCGTTAGCCTGGATAAATGAGGCTGAAGAATTAGTGAAGACAGAATTTGAGAAAAAGTATAAGGATAGAGTGTTGGATGTAACTGAGGAGGATACCCTGGCAGTGGACACCAAAGGAAAAGGTGCTGAACAGGTGTGTGGTATTTTATCTTATTCATTCCGCCATGCTGACCTTGTTAAATGGACTTTCTTTAGGCCTTGAGCAATATATTCAACGATCTGGATAGTGATTGACCTCCCAAATGTGGCAAACTTCAGGATGAGCTGAAGCAGTATCTCTCCTCTGACATCAAATTCACTGCTGATGTGATTCAATGGTGGCATGACAAAAGCAGTGATTACCCTTGCCTCTCAAGGATGGCCCTTGACTACTTGATGATTCCTGGTGTGTTGTTTTCATTTCTGATATGACAACAGCTGGCCATCTGAGTTGATTTAGCCACAGCTGTTGATGTTGAATGAGTTTTTAGTCAAGGTCATCTCCTCATTACACATATTCGCAATAGGTTAATGGCACAGACATCCCAGGCTTTGATGTGTCTTGGAGATTGGAGTATATTGGGCTTTATCGAGGACAATGATATTCAGGCAGTTGCACTAATGCCTGAGGTACCTGAGGCAGAGGGTGATGAGAATGGAGATATTCTCATGCCTGATGGGTGGGATGCTATCTTGTCACAGTAGATGCATCTGTATTGTCATGAATATGATGCCTTTATCTGTTCACCTGTGTACCCATGTACCCGTATTAAAATATGTTGACCTGTCTTATAACCCATACCTGCCATTATGGGTCAAAACCCTAACGGGTACAGGTATGGGTTGACTTCATGGACCTGGGGGTTTACTCGGGCTATTCACTAATGATGAAACTAGCAACCTCCTCATAGGTGGAAGCTAGGCCCTCAATGATGGCATTACTGTTCTCATGGCTGGCGATCTGGTCGAGAGAATCCACGAGCTGGCAGATCAGGTGGTTGCACTGCAGGAAGTTGCGCTGCATGAGCACGTCAAGGTGCTCCAGGTTGTGGTTAAGCGCACGGAGCTCTTTTAGGTCAGACTCCATTGCTATGGTGACAAAAGTTAGTGAGCAGGCTAAAAAGAGGAAAAATAAGAAGAGAATGCTTACAACCAACATGGTACCTCACATACTTGGCAAGTTTTGAAGACACCTTATTCATTTCTTGAGCGGTGTATCAGGTGGAACACCTGCCATGATGACTATGAGTGCACTGATCACAGGATGCACCTGGGAATTGGTTCATCCAGGTACAGTTGAGATCCCTAGTCAAGCAGGGAATGCAGTCACCAGAAACCTTGAAAAGAAAAAGGGAAAGTCAGAGAGAAGTAGGCAAAGCTAGTGAGCTCACTCACATTGGAAGCCTGCACAAAATAAGGGAAGGGATCCAAGCATGCACCAAAGATGCCATTCTTGTCACTATACCAGACGGGCCTAGGATACATGATGATTGAGATAATGGAGAGAAGATGGAAGCAGAGAAAGAAACTCACTTGAAGAAGGCAGCAGGGCCCTCACGAATATCTTCAAAGGTTAAGGCTTCGAGCTCCGAGCAGCTAGTAGAGTGGCGGCTGATAGCAACCTCAGTCCCAGCACCAGGCTTGCTAAGCATATAACAAGTATCAGATTTGTGAGCTCACTTTTTGGCCTTCCCCTTTTCAGGTGAGACCTGCTCCTTCTTCTCCTTCTTGGCATCAGAAATCCTGTGCTTCTTCTTGGGAGGCACATCATCATTGGAGCCTGATTCTGACTCCTCAGGGAGCTCAACGATAGGGGGAAGAACAGCTGCCTTGGTAGCAGCAGCACACGAGCATGTAAGAGGAATGTGAGGAGGAGAATCCTCCACCGGCAGAGTTGGAACTCTAGCAGCTTGGAGCTGCTTCTTGCACTTGGCTAGATGAGAGGGCCCAGCCACAGGTGTGGGGCTCAGATAGGCAATGGTATGGTGGAGAGCAGATGTATGGACACACAAGAAAGGGGGAGGGGAACGAATGGACTCTGCAGCCTGAGGAGGAGTTGCTGGTGGAGCCTTGGTCTTCTGGGCAAGCTTTTTCTTCCTGGAAGGAGAGGTGCCGGCCTTCCCTTTGCCCTTGCTATGGGTAGTACATTTGGAAACCTCCACAACAGGAGATCCCATATCAAAGTCATGATCAGTGATGAGGTTGCCAGAAACAGCATCATGGACAAGCTCAGGTGAAGGTGCCCGAGCTTCCTTGATGACAGGAATATCATCAAAGAGATCGCCAGTGCCACTGAAGTCAGATGGAGGCTGAGGAGACCGAGAAGGAGGATGATGACCATCGTCCTTCTCAGAACTTGGGAAGAATAACGGCTCTTGAGGCTGTGGGGTAGAATTGATCTCCTGTAAAGCAGGAGGGACAGGTGCTGCAGAAAACTCCCCATTCCCAACAACCAGAGGCAGGGGAGGGCTCACTTGAGCATGGAGCTGGCATTGAGAAGTACGGCTTGACATCACCATAGGCAGAGCAGGGTGCATGGGGGTAGAAAACAATGAGAAGTGAATAGCGACTGTGAGTAACTAGCAAGAGAACTAGAACAGAACTCAGAGTCCACTCACCCTTGGCTGAGGAAGTCTTGAGTCCAGGGGTAGCAGCTGGAAATAAAAGGAGTAAGCGACCAGAGACAGAGAATGAGAGGAAGAACTCACACTCTGAGGTTGAGGTCAATGCCTAGGGTCAGGAGCTAGAAGGAGGAGAGCCTGAGTTAGCGAGCTTGCTAAGTTAGGATAGGATATTCAGCCACTTACTCGGTGATATGCCGTCTATGCATTCACACCTAGATTTTGCGATTTTATAACAATACTATTGCATGTCTATCCTATACTAGTCATATATCAAGGGCTATAGTTGAGACTTCGGACTGATAGTCAAGTTAGCATGCTACTAGTTGAGTCAGGACTTAGGAATGATACCACTAGTGGGTCAGCCTTACCAGCTGACCAGACTAGCACCTCCAAAGCTAGTATGACTTAGTAAAATATGGTCACTAGTAAAGAGTACAGCTGCTAGCGCCCAAACAAGAAGTAAGAACCCACACAGATCTCAACTATTCAGTCACTAGTGGACCAATCTGGGCATGAACACCTAAGTCAGGATGACTAGTCACATGAGCACTTCTGAAAGGACTTAGAAATGAACCAGTAAAGGCATAACCCTTAGCCCAGATCTGGCTAGTGTGATACAGATCTCATGCGATCAGCACTAGTATAGCTGGGCTGTGCCCCAATCATGATCGAGCAGTTGCTACAGGCACAGTTACCCAACTATTCATATAGCCGTGTCACTAGTGGAGCACTGCTGGGCAAAGGGTGTGGAAACAACCCAATAGCGGAGTCCCTCGACCCGCTATCTGACAGAAAGAACAGGCTAGGCTGACTATTGTGTGATTATTCACCATATTTCATGACTAGCCAAGACATCCTTACCAATATTACCCCTAAAGAATTTATTTATATTTATTCTGTACCTGTCTCTGTAGTATATAAGTAGTAGAAGGGGTGGCCTCACAAGCAGGCAAGCCATCCCCGCCATTGTGACCTACTAGTCTGTATTCTAGTGCCCCAATTAAAGACCTTTGTGCTTAACCTCGATGAAGTGTCTACTAGTCACTTAGTCACCTATAGTATTGAACAAATTGAAGTGTCTTAAAGTTGTTATTCTGTCTTGGAGTGACTCAGAGCATTTCGAAGTTAGTTAAAGTATTTGTTCTTAGGCCAAGAGTGCCACTAGTCGAGCCTAGGGTGCCGCTAGTCAAGTGTAGATCACTTGTGAGACCCAGTATTTGGCCCAGAGTGCCACTAGTTTCGGAGTATCAGAGTCAGACCGAGCGCAGTTGCTCAAACTAAGTCACTATTCACTCAATTGTGTCTTAAAACCCCGCTAGTGCGAGTATTACATCTTGTGCAGCTCACTAGTACCAAATACAAGTCTTTGAACAACCTTTTCCTGATTTATTGAAGTCTGCAGAGTGCTTCTATTGTACTCAAAACACCCGAACTCAATATAATTGGTGATTTGTGTGGAGTGGTTGAGGTTTGGTAGGATAAAGTTCACTATCTATCCACTAGTCTTAGTCGCTCACCGTTACTGAGCACATCATCGGCAGAGTAGACAGCACTGGAAGACTGGCAGTACTGGAGGATGAAAGCTGTTAGAAAAGTGAGGAGGAATGATCAAAGGAAAGAGGACTTACACCCGGCAATTGAGATCAAGGAAGGTTGCAGCTAAAGGCAGGGCATTCCTGGGAGTTGAGGCTGGAACCCTCAACATCTGCTGCAGGTTGTGAATAGAGGCCACCAAGTGGTGGCAACCGTGATGCACAGTGGGAGGCTGAGACTCAGAGGCTGGGGGAGGACATGACGACAGAGGCATGTGAAGCTGATAAGGTGGAGGTGCTGGAGTCAAAGGAAGGCAAGGCACAGGAGTATGAGGAGGAGCCAGAGTTGAAGGCCCAGCAGGAGGATCCACCGGACAAGGAGAAAAAGGGAGCACTGGCACCAGAGTGAGAGTCTGCCCATTAGAGAGTAGGCTAAAATTTGAAGTCACTGGTGCACTGGGTTGGGCACCATGGCGGCAACAAGGCTGAGGAGTAGGGGATCCCTGCTTGGAAGCGAGCTCATCAACATCATCCAGAAGAGGAGTTGGGTATCATGGAAAAATGACACCCGGGAAGGCCTCTTTGTCGATCAGTGGAGCACAAAGGATGTCCTCAGATTCCAAAACCTCCTGCTGCAGGAGGTAGTGAACGAGAGGCAGTGGTGGAGATGTCATAACAAAGCCAGGTTCACCAGAGAAGGGTAACCCAACTGTTAGGCATGGTAGGCCCTATAGAACCATAAATTAAATGGGCAGGGATAAGAGGAAAAGTGAGACTCACATGAGAAGGCCATGTCTCAGCAGGGACATGGGCGATGAGCTGGTTCCTGTTAAGCACTAACTCTAATCTGAGCCAAGGCTGGTCTCTATCCTGTCACTCGTGTTCGGTGATTCAGTGTTAGAGAGGCGTTGGTAGATTGTGAGAAGTTAGGCATCACTTATAGTGAAAGCAAGGAGCTTGTAAGAGTTAAGAGTATATAACCTTAGCCGAAGCTGGGGACTAAGGCCACAGCATAGGCTAGCTTAAATACATGTTGGACTTGTACTAAGAATAGTATCTACAAGGGCACATGCAGTGAGAAGTGTGCCTTTCAACGAATGAGAAGTGAGGACACTAAAAGAAGTGGACTCCCGATGAATGAGAGTAAAGAGTGCATATCACCTGCATCTGCACAGGACTCCGTCTGAATAGGCTGCACCCCATAGACCGCCCTCAACTAGTGGTCAACTCCTGTTCAACCACTAAGAAGCATGATGCCATCAAGAGAAGCATGATGGTGCATGCGAGTTGTCGGTCATCCAGGATGTGGCAGCTGTGAACTGGGGTGACAGCAACTGGGTAAACGGGTAAGGAGTGTGCCAGTGGAATATCATGGGTCTGAGAGATAAGATAGGTAGGTCCAGGGTTCTGAGGGATAAGGATAAGATAAGATAAGAAAAATAGGGGTAAAGTCATAATAATACCCCCGACTAAGACTGTCATCCTGACAGTTCTTTAGACGTACTCACTCCCTGAGTCGAGGGAGTTAGTAGATTCCATATCCGATTCGTAGTCCTTGTTTTGTTCCCAAGCAGACATGCCCCATTCTTCTAAAGGGAAGCTGGGGTCAATCTGAGTCGTTAAAGGAGAAATGGAATGCTCATTTTCGAAGACGTCTTCATCCATGTCTGATGAATAAAAGTCCTGCTCGTCACAGAATAAGGGATCGGTATGATTCTCATTTGAGGTTGGAAAGAGTGTTGAGCTCTCAGTTGAAGAGCCAGGAGATGATGTGGTTATACATCCTCCTTTGTTTTCCAAGTGTCGCAAATCATGATCCTCTATGCGGTCTTCCTTGTTTTCATATTGTTTGACAAGTTCTTCGGCATTGGCGAGGTTGCTCCTTTTGAGCCAAGTAGCTTCCTCCACTGGGTATCCTTTCCATTTGACCAAATATTCGGTTATGGTCCTCCAGCTGTGTCCTCGACTGATGATGTGGTTGCGGTCCTGAAGTAGTTCTTCTACTTCATATTCTTCTTCGCCTTCCATGAGCTCTGGCTTGGGTGGCGGAGGTTTTTCCTGGTTGGAAAACCCTGGGAGGACATACGGAGTTAGGTATCATTCATTGAACTTGTTGTGGATCTTCCATCCTGGTGGTAGCTTTAGCTCGTACGTGGAGGGCCCCTTCTTGGAGATTATTTCAAAGGGGCCGATGCGCTTATTATCTAGCTTTTTCACTGGTCGGGGAAGGTGAAGGTTGGTTGAATCCAACCAGACTTTATCACCTGGTTGGTACTCTTGCGCAGGACAAGTGTGTTTGTCATAAGCCTTTCTCATACCCTTGGCAGCTTTATTCAGAGAGTGTTCCGCTTGTTTGCATACTCTCTGGAGGCTTTCGACAAAGTCAGTTACCGATGGTGTGTTACGGTTTATTCATTTCTTTTCCTTTTTCTTATGTATTCAAGCTTACTCTATGCTGCGGTTCTGATCGGACATTCTCACAGTACTATTTTTAGTCTACTCAACGTGTATTTAAGTAAAGCCTCAGCTGGTCTGAACCCCAGCTTCGGCTAAGGTTTAATCTACCTAACATCGAACTCCTTGTTTCGCGACTATCTAAGTTCGCTCCTGACTCCTCCACATCGCCTTTGACCTCCGAGACCATCGTCCACCGAAGTGCGAGTGGCGATCCTTGGTTGATCTAAGTCGATAAGAGTTAGTGGCTAACATTTAGCCGAAGCTCGACCCTTCGCCGCCCAGTGCCACGTCAGAGAACGAACACTGCTCGACGACTTGATATCATTGTATTCCCTAGTTGACCGAAACGGTCGCTAGTGGCATTTGACGCTTCATCGGTGCCATCGCTCCCTTGGATCAACAAAAAGCATTTACCTCAAAATTCACCCGATACACCTCCTTGTCGCAGTAGCCCTTTGGGTTACGCCCTTCGACCTACTACTTCAAGCTGCTGTGGTCGCGTGGATTTTACCCCACATCATTGACGACCCTATCCTTGCAGTTCTAGTAACTGTCTTCCTCACCCTTGCTCTCATACGGGTCTGTATCGCCGCTCCGCTTCTAGCAGGACTGCTAGTCGCTCTCTACGGCGCATACGTTCCTCTTGTCTGAGGCACCATGAGACCCTTCCCTTTAGCCTTAAAGTCAGCATCACTGTTAACAGTAATACTGTTGGCCTTGACTGACCCTTCCTTTGACGACGATACACCGTTGATGACCGGCCCCAACTACGAGACCGACCTCAACCTAATTATCGCGACCCTCGCCGCCCTAACCATCCTTGCCTTGACCGTCGTATGGTCTATCCTTACCACCGGCACTCTCAAAAGATAAGCCAGCGGACGGATGCCCTTATCCGACGCCATTCCCATCGCCTCCACGCTTTTTATAACCTTTTTCTTGTTCACTTCTTTGTACTACCTCCAGCGGTGCTGTCGCCAGCAGAGGCGCGTACGAGCACAACTCCCGTTTCATTACGTTCCAGCAACACCAGCGTATCCACCGCCAATAATCTTCATTCCCATGGCATCGCAACAAACCCTTCACGATGGCTGACCCATCACACCCAGGGGACCTGGAGAGTCCCTCTACGGGTCGTCGCAGTCCAGCTCGGGATCCTCAGGATCGAGCACCGACTCCTACAGAAGTGCCACCGCCGAGTCCGATGAGTCTGTTGACATCACCGATACCCAGGGGGTACTCCTCGACGGAGGAGACTCACCCCTACCAGGCCTCTTCGCTCAGTCTCCAGTCGCAGGCCAGCCAGGAGAAGAAGGAAGGGATTTGGAGTCGGGCGAAGAAGAGGATGTCGATACCGAGTACGAAGGGGATGAGCTCACCGAGCTCGAAAGAATCCGACTCGAAGACCTCCTCGGTGACCTCTACCCGAACGAGGAGGAAGATGCAGCCTATACCGGAGACAACTGGAGCGGACGCTCCCAGAACAAGTGGACCGAGTCGGAGTGGGGGAACAGAAGAATCGCGGCGGATGATGCACGAGACTGAGCCAGGCTCGCCACGTCTCGAGGGCGGAGACCCCGAGATGATTTCGACGAGGACTCCGGGGAGCTTAGCCTCGGAGCCTCCGTGGCTACCACCAGTGCAGCTAACCCACACCTTGTTTCAGGCTCCTGGCCAACCGATCGAGGAGAGCCAGTCGCCTGGTACCCCCGTACCAGTTGGGTCTACGCCGATGACCGGCAAGAGACTCCTCTGGCCAGAGACGCGCCCCGACCAGAGCCCGACCTGGTCCCTGAAAGGACCGAGACCCCTGCGGTCGCTCCCGCCGTCCCCTCGCACGAGCCGACGAGTGGGGAGCTTTGGAGCGAGTTCCCAGAGTACGACACCAAGGAACTTGGAACAATTACCGTTTCCGAGCGGCTCGCCGGAGTCTCCAATTGGGAGCCGTCCGTCGCATCGAGAGCCTTCGCCGACCCCGTCCCTCTATCCCAGCGTCTGTGGCCTCTCTTATATCACACGTACGTCGAGTCCCTCGGACTCCCTAGAGATGCCCGGGAATCCCCAGAAGTCGAGGCCCGAATGGAGCAAGGAAGAGCGCATGACACACGCATCCGCAGAGCCGAGGAGGACACACTCCAAGGACCCGGAGGCTGGTGGGACTTACCCCTCGAGCCCGACGCAACCCCCGCCGAGGTCGAGAACAGAATACGAGCCGCGGCAGTCAGATATACCGGAGCCACTAGAAGGGCCGGAACCGATCTCGAGGCGCGAAGAAGAGCCTGGGAGTCCTACCAGGCCGAAATCAGCGACGAGGACTCTGACATCGGGAGATGGAGAAGGAATAAGGAGCTCGACAGGCTCGCCCGAGAGAGGAAGGCAGCCGAGGATGCCAAGTCGTCCACCAAACCGAACCCTCGAACCGACGGTAATGGCAGCGGTGAGGCAGGTCCTTCTTAGGGGACCCTTCCCGTGGCCGGGCATCTTCAACCTCCTTCCCTGGCACGGACTGTATGAAATCATGATGGAGGACATGGAGAAGGATCCCCACTGGCTGTTCTCGGAAGCCAGGGAAGATTACCGCCACGCCAAAAGCATGGGCGATGTATATCTTATGAAGAATATCCTGGAAGTGGAGACCTGGCATCGGGCGGCCTTGGTCTGGAACATGATGAATCCTGAGGCCCCGCAGCCTGGATGCGAGCCGTACAGATGCCCGCAACCGATGCCTCACCCGACTGATCCATCGGACTTTTTCCCTGAAGGGTTCTTCGGAGGAGCAGGGGAGGATGACGGTGGGTACAACGATCCGGGGGCCGGGCCCTCGAACCCAGACAAGGGCAAGCAATCCATGGTCCCACCAGTACCGCCCAAACCACCGTGATACCCGGATCCCATGGGCTACCCGCCCCCGGGAGAGAATCGGGGCCTGCGGTTGCTTTCGCGACCACCCAAGCCGCCGGTGCCCCCTCATGTCCCCTCGCCACCGGATCCGATACCCCTGTGGCAGCTAGCCCCCGGGTCAGTCAATAACCCCTGGAACGATGTTAAACCCAAGCTGGTGACCCAGCCCGAGTATTTCACCGGGGTCTCTTCGGACATCACGCGCTTCCTGCACCACTGCGAGGTCTACTTCACGGTGTTTCCCCTGTACTACACGATGAACGATCAGGGGCACAACCCCTATCGCATCACGTTCGCGCAAGGGTACTTACGGGGGGACGCGCAGCAGTGGTGGGTTGATCAATACTATCGGTACCGGGACCCGCAGGGGCATTGGAGGTTCCCCACTTGGGCGGAGTTCTCCAACGACCTCACGCGCGAGTTCTGCGAAGTCGCAGAATTGACCATATGGAAGGCCGAATGGAAGAAGATCCGCCAATCGGACTTCAAGTCGGCCATGGAGTTCTTTGCGAAATTCGAGAGATTAGCTCACAAGTGCGAGGAGTTCAGAGATGAGAAGCAAATGTTCGAAGCCGTAGAAGCGGCAATCAGGCCGACGGTGCGCAACACGGTTATGCATGGGGACAATGAGCACCCCACAACCTATGCCGAGTGGAAGGCACGAGTGTTACGCATCGACGCAAACTATCGATACGGAGTCGCCCAAGGACTGGGCAGTAAGTCCTCCTCGAACCAGGGAGGTTTGGGTCAAGGCAATCAATCATCACAGAAGGGTGGTGGGCAAGGGTCGAGTGGTGATAAGAAGGATGCCACGGGGACAACCTATGGGGGTGCCGGGCAGCCGATGGAGATCGACAAGTTGCGAAGCGACAAACGATGCTTCAAATGCGGCAATACCGGGTGGAGCTGGGACCATAAATGTCCGACGGACAAATCGAAATGGCTTCCCGTCAAACTCCCACCTCGCAAAAAGCCCAACGCCCAACGCCTCCGCCAATTACTTGAGGAAGCCGAGAAGGAGGAGAATGGAAAAGATACGAAGATAGAGGAGGTCAAGGACGATAAGTCGTCAAAAGACCAGCCGGCATCGAAATAAGCGATTCGACGGCGTCGGCAAAGGACTTAGTTTCCACTGGTGCGCGCTCCTGTACTTGTAGTAAGGCTCAATCCGTATGTGTAGGTACTCCCTACGATCAATATACCAATTTTTTCGCCGCTCTACCAGTAGAAGAAACTAAAGAAAACGAATCGCCAACCACCGACGGCATAGGAGGGGATTCCTGCTGCTCTACGCAGCCCGTGTCCAGCACTGAACCCCTAGGGGCTGTCCGAGCTCAGGAACCCCCGGCTCACCGCACAGGGAAAGCCCCTCGAGGGCAGAGCCCCCTAGGTCGAGTCCCAACTGCACCCCAGACGTGGGGAGGTCACCCCGGAGAGGGAGAAAGGTCGACAACCCAGCCCACTGGGCCTGCGTCTTCGCTTGTGGAGCCGTCTGTTCCAGCGGGATGCGCCGGAAAAGCAGCTGAGGCAGTGAACCTGGACGACCACCCTCACCCAGTAGTCACCCAAGCGATCAACAGTGAGGACCATACGGGCGAGCCAATATGTGTGCCCCTGCGAAGGGTTACCCGAAGTACCGCCGGGTCCAGGAAGAGCAGTAAGTACAGGAC